ATTAGGATCAAATTGTGTTCGAGGCTTCACTTGACACTCAACAGTCCATATCGGTCTTTCGTGAAAACCAGTCACTCGAGGTGAGTTCATACCCCTACGCTTTTATTGTTTTTAAAACGTTTTCAGGGGGGAATACAAGCCAAACATAAATGTTTTGTGAACTAATACAAAAGGACATTTATCAAATACAAAACTCATGCAATTGATACAAACAAACGGTTTCATTTAGATATTTTATCCATTTTGTAATATGTTGAGCATAAGGGGCGTTTTACAACTTATAACCAAAATTGCATAATTTTTTGTTTTCAGATTTAATATACACATTAACTACACTATACATGCAAACTATAATAGGTATAGTTGGGGAATTCATACAAGGTTATACATATACGTACACACAAACTATAGTAGGTATAGTTTGGGAATTCATACAAGGTTATACATATACGTACACACAAACTATAGTAGGTATAGTTTGGGAATTCATACAAGGTTATACATATACATACACACAAACTATAATAGGTATAGTTTGGGAAAATCATTAAACAGTTTACAAACTTATACTTTATAAACCTTTCACTTATTTACAAAAAGGGTTTTCAGCATTATTACTTGTAAATTTGTTAGTCTAGTTGGAGACACGTCCTTGGAACACTCACAAACTTAACTGGGTGAAGGACTAGCACTTATGATCAGAATCTCCTCGAAGGAGAGCGTGACTGTTGTGTATAGATTTATACGGGACTGACTATCCCGCACCTTGCTGCTAGCTACAGTAGGACCGACAGGTGTACGGGTGACAAAGTCATAAAGGATACTGGTGCCCGATTCGCGTCATATCAAGTTAATGTATGGTCATATCACTCACAATTGGATAACAGCGATTTACTTATGTAATAATAAACTATACATGAACAATACGTATTTGGTATAAGTACGGACAAATACATGTTTTCTCAAGGAGAACTAAACTACTATACATACTGGTAATAACCAGGGTTTTCAAAACAGAGCATTTCATACGGAGCTTTTTCATACAAAAATTCAGCATGCAATATATCTAGAAGTAGCTCAGTCATACAAACACTTTTACTAAAGAAAATATTGGATTTTCTTCGAACTCATACAAACATTTTACAGAGTTATCAACCGGTTTTCAATATACATATATCGCTTATGAACTCACCAGCTTTATGCTGATACTATTTTCAAAACTGCTTGTATTCTCAGGAAATCAGTAGACAGGTACTCCTGGAGTCTGAGAAGTCAGAGCAACTAAAGTCATGTCTTTATATTTACTTATAATTTTGTAGTATTCGAACAAGACGTAATCTAATGTAAACCTTTTTCATACATGTATTCAATGTTTGGTTGTATTTACTATGATTGGTATGATACAATTGTTGTGATACTACGCATGACGTCCTCCGCCCCCGAACGTTTCCGCCGTTTCGGTTTGGGGGTGTGACAACACACAACAGTTCGAATTGTTCAAGATCTACAAAAAAAAGCCTAAAGCCGCCACCACCCGTCTCGCTGACGGACGTCGGAATCGTGCTCTGCCATTTTCGATTCATCTTCACAGGATGTCGAAATCGTCGTTCTAGACCTATAACGAACATGTCGCTTCCGTTCTTTGCATTTCCATATCCATAATTGTCTTTTTTTACCGGAATCAAACCCTAACGTTGCCTTCATAACCCTTCGTCGCCATTGACATTCAGAAAAGAGACCAATGAGAAAGGTTGTGATGCCAGGGTTTCGTAAAAGTGACGTTCGAAACATATCTGAGATGGTGATTATGAAGCAAGAGATAGAGGATGGTTGTGTTGGAATCATATCAGAGGTAGAGTTCCTCAGTCGCCATCGACGTTCAGAGGTGGAGTTTCTCAATTGTCACCTTCGCCGGTGGTTGTTGGGTTCATCATAAAGAGAGAAGCATTTTAACAGAGATGGGGAGGGGGAGGCGTGGGTATTTTCTTTATTTTTTTTATTCCTGTATAAAAAAATAAAAAAACGAAAATACAATGGAAAAAATCATCTTTTTAAAAAAATTCAAAATAAATTGGACTAAAATCACAATAAAATGACAACTTTTGACCTCTAGTGTTAGTCCAAACTTGTTTGGATGAAAATGACAATTTTCAACTAACCACACCATTCTTGCATTTTTGTCAAGAAAAAAATAATGAAGTTTGTTTTTGAGAAAAAAAACAATTTTAATATATTCTCGAGCTTCGTTTAAGGAGAAAAAAAAAGAAATAGAAGAGAATAAAACATTTTTTTCTGTTATAATTTATAAAAAAAAAAAAAGAGATGATTGAGAAGGAAAAGAAACAAGGCTTTTCATTATAAGCAGTTAATGCATTTTGGTAGCCATTATGTATCGGTTAGTACTGGTTTTGATTAACGATTTTAGTTGGTTAACGGTTAATATTAGTTATCGATAATGGACAAAAATAAGATAAAAATAAAAAATATTTTTCTATAAAAATGAAAAGCATAAAATGCATTGCTATAAAAATGAAAGATTGAATGTTTATACAAGATTATGTATCTCATCTGATCCCAAATAATTCCCCTTCAAATTTTTAATTTTTAATCTAATTATATATTATATATTTAATAGTATATTATATTAAAAACATTCATTAATATTAGGGAAAATGACTCTGGAGGGTAACTAACTGTTGAGTTTGTTTTCATTTGGTCACTTTCCTTTTTTTGTATCCAATATACCATCGAACTTGTTGTTTGTGTTCACCATAACCCTTTTGACGAACTTTTGATAGCCGGTCAAAAGGGTTATGGTGAACACAAACAACAAGTTCGATGGTATATTGGGTACAAAAAAAAGGAAAATGACCAAATGAGAACAAACTCAACAGTTGGTTACCCTCCTGAGTTATTTTCCCCAAAAAGTTAAATGAAATTAAAGGTACAAAAGTATCAAAGACGACAACCTTTTTAGGCCATAACGTACATGAAGAACGTTTCGGAGGGGTAGCTTCACCAAAACATGGTCTATCCTATGCTTATTGTGGTTAGTTGTCAACAACTCTCTGCAACAGGGTATGATTGTGTATGAGAGGTATCTTTATCAGCATAAACGTTTACCTCAAGGTATATTATGGTGATGTGTCTGCAAAAGCTGCATGATCTTGTACATATTAATGTTGTATCTTATCCCATGAATTCGATCTTAAAGCTAAGTAAACTCAAAAATCACAACACTTGTGATTCCACTCGTTTGTAGACTTGTCTAAAATCCATGATATGATAAATCATTTGATTGGAAATGTAAATGTAGTCACGAAAATGCACCTGCTTAATCAAGATTCCCCTAATAAATATTCAAGTGCATTACAAAGTTGTACATGTATGAACAATGTTTTTTCATGGGTTATGTTTTGAAGAGAATGAATAATGAATCTCATAAAGTCATTAATATGAGCAGGAGATGACGTGAGATTTTCTGTAAATGAGTAAAGGGAAAATGACTTTGTAGGGTAACCAACTGTTGAGTTTGTTCTCATTTGGTCTCTTTCCTTTTTTTGTACCCAATATGCCATCAAACTTATTGTTGTGTTCACGATAACTCCTTGACCAGCTATCACAGGCGCTAGCCAACCAAAAGGGTTATGGTAAACACAAACAACAAGTTCGATGATATATTGGGTACAAAAAAAAGGAAAATGACCAAATGAGAACAAACTCAACAGTTAGTTACCCTCCAGAGTCATTTTCCTTTAATATTATTGTTTCATTGATTGTTTTAGTTGAAGACACTCAGTTTACACCAAAATTCTAATTTGACACTGTGTTTTTTTTTGTCTCAAATTTGACACTGTGTTTTCCAATTTGTTACAATTCTGACCACTTGACCAATCAACCAAGTTACATGCTGACGTGGCATGATGACGTGCCAGTTTTGATGACGTAGCATGCTGACATTATATGTTGACGTGTCAAAATTGAATTTTTTTCCACAAAAAACACTAATTTTTCACTTTTTTCGATTTTGACACTAAGTTTAATTTTTTCTTTCAATTTCGACACTATGTTTTTTTGTTCTAAATCGAACATCATTTATCAAATTTTGTTCAACTTTGACCATTTTCCATTTGAAACCATATAACTATATTTTTTTATTACATTTTAAACCGTATAAATATATTTTTTTCGTTTAAACACCATATTTTTATTTAAATACAAGGTATTTTGTTTTTTTTTTCATTCAAAGCATAATGTATAAATATACATTAGTTGTATCATGAGAATCAAACTAGCCATAAGCTTCTAATAAGATGTAAAAATTTCACGGGTTGCAAACTTAACATCCGGGTTTTGATCGACTACACACCTCCAAACCTCCAAACTCATTTTAAAGTTGCGTATTTAATATAAAATATGATTTTTATATAACTAATACATATTTATACATAAAATTATGGTTTGAATGTAAAAAAACTTTGTATTTATACAAAACTATGGTTTTTAATTGAAAAAAAAACATAATTATACGGTTTAAATTTATTCAAAAAATATTTATACGGTTTTAAATAGAAAATTGTAAACATTGAACAAAATTGGAAAAAATGATGTTCGATTTGAAACAAAAAAACATAGTGTCAAAATTGAAAGAAAATTAAACTTAATGCCAAAATAATAAAAAAAAAAAAAAAAACTTAGTGTTTTTTGTGAAAAAAAAAAATCAATTTTGACACGCATGCATATCATGTCAACATGTCACGTCATCAAAACTGACATGTTATCATGTCACGTCAGCATGTAACATGGTTAACCGGTCAAGTGGCCAGAATCGTAACAAATTGGAAAATATAGTGTCAGATTTAAGACAAATAAAAACACAGTATCAAATTAGAATTTTGATGTATACAAGGTGTCTTTTGTTCTGTTTAATCAAAACTAAAAACTATAGATTTAATTAAAATAATTCGATTTTAAGTTTTAACCGTTAATTGGTTCAATTGCTCACGGCGTTCCTTTCTTACCTGAGATTTTAAACTCGAGGACAAGGTGAGAGATGCATATTTTCTTTTTATAATTTCGTAAATTCGTTAGCACCGGAAAGGAATTCATGGAAGCGAAGATCGGAAGGTTCTTTGAGTCCGTAGGCGACTTCTTCTCAGGCGGTGATCAGATTCCTTGGTGCGATTCCGACATTGTCGTTGTAAGCATTAATCCCTTGATAAATTCCTATAAAACCCTATCCCTAATAATATAAATTACATCTCATCAACCAAAATAGAATTTCTTTAACAATTTAATTTTCGATTAATTGTTACACACATGTATTTTAATGTTTAACAGATTCGATGGCGTTTGTTCCCGTTGGTTTTCTCTCAATAAATTTTCGTTTTTGTATTATTTTGAGCAATAATCTTCATATTACTTCGAAAATACGAGGCACCTTTGACCTTGCTCCACAAGTGTCTTTGGGAGGTTTTTTTTATCTTACCTGATGCCGTTTAGAAATGCAACTAATTGTGCATTTAGCTTGTTCAGTAGTCAATTTGAGAAAAAAAAATATGAAATTTTAATTGTGACATAATAACTTCAATAATCAATTTGATGAATAGGGTTGTGAGCGTGAGGTTGCTGAAGCTGAAAAAGGTTCTAAAGATGAACTAAAACATGAGTGTCACATGCGTTTATCATGGGCTCTTGTTCATTCAAGGAGACCTCAAGATGTACAACGTGGGATAGCAATGCTTGAAGGTGAACACATAAGTTTTATTCTCAACTTTAATTTAAACATAAACATAAACGGCATTATTTATTTATTTATTCCATTAAACATGGATAAAATGTTGTATTTATAAACAATGTTTAAAAAAATATATGAGAACACGAATTCAGGGGTGTTTGGGATCACTTTTAAAATAACTTTTTACTTTTAATTTTCCCAAAAAGTCAAAAAATGATCAAAAGATGTTTGGCGAAAAGGAAAAGATCTTTTAAAATAACTTTTTGTATAGAAAAAAAAAATTGGGTTTTCAAAAGTTAAAACTTTTTGTAACTTTTGAGACTTTTTAACTGAAAAATTGGTTTTTACCCTAAAAACAAATACAAACACATTTTAAAAATTTTATTTTGAAAAAAGTTGCTAAGCAAAAAGTCCTTTTACAAAAAGAAGGACTTTTAACCTTAAAAAATAATCTCAAACACACCCGAAGTACACTTGGGAAAATGGAAGGAATAAATGAATTGGGGAAAATTTGTTAAATGGTGTACAACTATCGGTATTAGTTGTTTTTTTTTTCATTAAGCGAAAAAGAAAGAGTTAAATGTAAGAAATTGCAACGTATTTTTATTTATTTGTTTATTATAGCATCATGCCTACATATCTTCTTATTGTACATTGAAAATCTACCCAATCGCAGATGTAGCAATGTTATCGTAATAGAAAGCAATTCTATTATAATGTAGTAATAACATTGATATATAGTTTACTAGATTAAAGTCCATTGAGTAAAAACAAAACAACACCTTAATGGAACTCACGATCATACCTTCATTTCTCCTCATAACACAAAACAAAAAGTTGAATGTTGGAAAAATATAAATAATAAAAAATGTTTAATATAATGGATTTTAATTTTTATTGGTTGTTTCAGCTTCATTGGTGGGTACAAACAGCCCATTACAAACAAGAGAAAAGATGTATCTACTTGCTGTTGGATATTACAGAAGTGGGGATTACTCTAAAAGCAGACAACTTGTTGATCGCTGCTTGGAGGTTAAAATTTTCAATTTTTATTATTTCACCCTTGTACTTTTCGTTTTTTACTATTTTGGCATTGTACTTTTTTTTTAGGACCTTAGAGTTTTTGTATTTAACCTTATTAGCGATTGATATAAATTTTTATAGGTTGCACCCAACTGGATGCAGGCGTTGAATCTTAAAAGAACAATTGAAGACCATATTAAAAAAGGTTGGTCAAACTTCTAATTTTATATATTTTCTTTTCATTGATTTTGATTTCAAAATTTTAATTTGTATTTTTGGTTTATATTTTGGTAAAATTGCATATATATGTAGATGGTGTAATTGGCATAGGCATTGCTGCAACCACCATTGGGGTTGTGTTTGGTGGAATTGTGGCGGCAATGGCTCGCAGGTAGCACCACCTCAAATATGTTGTCTGGTATGCATTAATTCCACTTTTGATTTTTTTTTTATTGATTTTCTTAGTTAATTGGTAAGAGTCCCATTTTTGTTGCATAAATTGGTAACGACCACATAAATTTGTAATAGATTTGTTTTGTTGCATAAATTGATAAAAATACATAACTTTATTGGATAAGAGCATAAGAGCGTATACATTGTATTCTTTTCTCGATTCATGACAATATTTATTGTTGTAGAAATTTGTTGTTTTTTTTCTCTCTTATTAATCATAATTTTATTATTTGTTGTTGAAATTAGGAGATGCACCAGCGCGATGCAGGAGAAATTTGATAGTTAAAAAAAAATTATTATCATGCAAATTGTATTTGATGTTATAGGAAGAAATGAAAGGATGTTGTAAACAAAGGAAATTGAAAATCCAGTTTTAAGAAAAGGCTCAATGACACCAACAACGTTACTTGAATTTATTTGTGTACGATTTCATTTATTTGTGTACGATTGCATGTTACGTTTATTTATTGATTTCATTTATTTGTGTAATATTGAAATGGTTCAAAAGTGTGGATTAATCTACTCTACATCTACCTCTACCTATCTAATAAAAGAATCCTCTCTGCCACGTGTCCCTTCAAAAACTCGAAATTCATTCAATGTGAAATCTCATTTTTGCCCCTCCTTCATATCACAGGGTGGCTTACATGTCCAGGTCATAGGATATATGTAACTTATATATCCGATTTAAATTAAATTTAAATGTGGTGTGATTTGAAAAACCGATTCACGTTTGGAAAGACTTAATTGGTTACCATATTCATTCTTCTATTTCATCTTAAAATTTATGAAACGGTTGTTATCACTCATATCGAATCCCTGCAAATAAGGAATTGATAAGGTATGATATATTCTAATTTAAATTTAATTGCAATTCAGTTGATTTACTTGCCCCTTTTCATCCTATTCAGTTTTATATATTATTCATACATTTTTAATCATGAATTTACACGACCATTCTTTCATACTTCCACCACAGGAAACAAGTCCAAAAACTTCTCCAACATGAAGATGAGTCTGATTAGTCGAGACAACTGTATGTTCTTAATCCCTTTTACTCTGTAATGTTGATACTTTATACGAATAGTATATGTTCTGAATATTGATGATTTGTCTCTATTATACTAATATTATCTGTCTTCCAAAACGAATTACATGTAAAAGGAATATTATATGTTTTGAATACTTATGATTTGTTTGTGTTTTGCATTTTTCTTTATGGTGTGTTTTTTTCTTGGTTGCATCTTTATAATCTGTAATATCCATTCAAAGTAGTAAAATAAAAGTTTAATTATTATATGTTATACCTATACGATTATTATCCATCTTCCATATCAATTTACATGTAACCATCTTGGAAATCTATTTCCAAATTGTCCCTGACACTTCAAAAATGTTATTATTATTGGATTTCTTAACTGTACAATGCTCTTTTTTATATGAAAATGAACTTTAGTCTAATCTACTCACAATGAATCAATATTAAAAGGGCAATTTTATCCTTTCTTGGTTACCATAAATGAAAGGATAGAAACATGGTTAAAAGGTCAATTCGATCATTTCTTGGTTGTTATTTACACATGGTATTATTGCAATTTAATAATTACTCATAATGAATCAAGGTTAAAAGGGCAATTCAGTCCTTTTTGTTGTTATTTACACAGGGTGTTATTACAATTTAATAATTACTTACGAAAAATGGGTTACAGGAATTTTTAGATTCATTATACATGTTAAGTGGGTTATATGATCGTTTAGATTCATTATACATGTAAATGGGATGTTCATTAACTCACTGTTGTGGTCTTACATTGTGTATTATTATTGCAAAGAGAGCAATTTGAACAGTTGAACACTTATTGTATTGATATTCAAAACCATTAACATTGACTTCATTTATTTATATGGTAACATATCGATTTATAAATACTTAACAATATTTTTTTCTATTAAACTATATACATTATGCTAAATAATATTTTCTTCTTTGATGTTTTTTTACATTGATAATGGCAGAGAGAAACATCACTTTCATTCACGACTTGGATAACATGAAAGATGATTACACTTTAAAGGTTTGAATTATCCGGTTATGGAAATCAATCTCCTTTTGGAATAAAAAAGCCAAAAGTAGAAGTTGTTACCGTTCTAAAAGTCAATAAGGGTATAATGGTCCTTTTTTGGTTAATCATAAAAACTTCAAGATTTTTTATGGGTTTCTGCTGCAGGGTTGGTTTTATTGGAATAATAAAAGAGAGTAAATAAAGAATTTTTAATGGGTCTAAGGATATTTCGGTTAAAGAATCTGTAGCAAGGGCAATCTCATATTATTATTATTGTTATTGTTATTGTTATAATTATAATTATAATTATTACTATTAATATTACTATTACTATTATTATTACTATAACTATAACTATGACTATTACTATTACTATTACTATTACTATTACTATTACTATTACTTATTATCTGCCATCTTGATTTGGATTTCTTGAAGATCTGTGAAGTTAGCAATGGTTTCTTGAAAGGACCCCTTTCTATACTTTCATATTTCTGAAAGACCCAAACTTTCATACTTGACAATATAGTTACTCCAAAACATGTTACATGCATATTCATAAAACAATATTTTTACATTGATAAAGTCATTACAAAAGATTGAATACAAACCGACTATGTTTTAAGATTTTACATGACTACCCAGGATATTGTAAATCTATACAAACCTAACCAAATACAAAAAAATAATATTACAACTATTCTAAGTCTTCCAACTATACTGGGTGCTTATTGCCTGCATTATGTTAAAACATTGGGAGGGGTAAACGATAACGCTTAGTGAGTTCAATAATAGATACAATATAACGTTATGTCATATATATACCAATATGGCAGAAGCAAATAGGAGCAAGGAACAACAAAGGCATAATGTGATAAGCTTTCCCTAACAATCATTGATTTGATTCAAAGATATACAATCATTGAGACATAACAATTTCCATACTTGATATACATCAATAACGCTTTGGCCCAAATGGCACAGAAGACATATAACTTCGGATTAACCTTTTGGTAGATTTAAGGTTTTCACGCCCTGTCTAACCATCTGCCAATGTCATAGAATAGAGTCATTCACTTACTGGGGGACATGCTCTACATGGCCAGAGGCTACATACCAGTACCACTGTGAATCTGAGTTCTTAAACTGATCACATGGTCAAAGGTATAGCTTTGCTATCATAAATAGCAGAAATAAAAATAACACGGGGAAAATACTCAGGAATATCATTCTACCGAAGCCAAAGTGATGCCTATGTCATACACTTCATGGTCAACGGTTCATACCAATACCCAAGTGATGCCTATGTCATACACTTCAAGTCAGAGGTACAGCCTTGCTATAAAAATAGCAGATACAACAAATCGAGATGATAACATGGAAAAGTACATACCACATATAACACATAACATACAATTGTTCCTATGTATTAAACTCACCTTGAATTAACCGGGGATCAAAATAATAATTTGGGCAGCACTTCGGCTCTAAATATGACTTTCGTCGTTGAAAACCGAGAGTTTTCTTGAAAACCGGGCCCTGCGAGGGTTGGGCTTCGAAACCGAAAAGATAAATTTTTCAGGCTTCTCGGGAATCTCGGGGCGCATTTCGGGCTTTGGAATAAGTACCGGGGCTTCGGGGGAAGTCGAAATGGCTTAAAATAAAGTTTAGGGGTGAAAAGGGGGCAAAAATAAACTCTTACCCGGGAAGTCTCGCACCTCCCTTATATAGGGTGCGAGACCGACCTTCGGATCCGAGAAGAGATGAGTCAGCGGACACGCGGAGTCAGCAGAGCGAAGCAGGTGGCAGGCTGCGAGGCCTCGGTTCGGACAGGTGTGCGAGGCGCGTCGGAAGGCTACTGGTCGCGAAGTTGGTCGAATCCGGAAGCGACACGCGGGTACTGTTCATGCGAGGATGAGTCATGGATCGGATACGGTGATTGAGCCGCTGCTCGGACGAATCAGAAGGCGATGCGTCAGCAGCTGGGTCTTCGGCTCGGACACGTGGCGCGATGACTCACCGAAATCAGCCTTATCCTTGCGAGATTTCTCGGAAATTGTGCCCCGACCTTCTAAAATCCGTAACTTTTGCATACGGGCTTCGTTTTTTATGTTCTTTATATGCACGCGTAGAGAAAATTATGCTCTACAACTTTCGTTTAGACTTCGTCGGAAAATTTTGACTTTATTTTTATATTATTATTTTTAACAGACCGGGACTGGTAAATCCGTTAAAAATTCATAACTTCTTCATCCGACGTCCGTTTTCGTCAGACTTTTTACCGTTGTACTACTAATGGCGAGACCTTCGATTCTTGTTTAGGTTGTGCCGGCTAAAAATCACTCGATCTAAAATTTGAGTTTTTAGCTGTCTGCTGCTAAGCTGAAACTTGTAAAAATAATAATTTCCTCATACGAAGTCAGATTTTGGCGTTCTTTTTATCAAAATTCTCGGTTTAACGAATACTACGACTTTCATTTAGATCACTAAGGCTAAAAAGTAGTTTATCAAAAATCACTTTTTACGTCATTCGACACCGTGCCGGTTTTATCGCGGATCTTCGATTGGTCATAACTTCTTCGTTATAACTCGGATTTCGATGAGGTTTTCGCCTACGTGTTTCTAACGAGATTATATACAACTTTCAATAATAAAATTTTACTTATTTCAAATTTTATATTTTCGCTAAATTTCACTATTTGGCATTTGATTGGAATCTCATAAGACTTCCAATACTTTATGAGTGATTCTAAACATAGTTTTACTTCATTTCTAGTAAAAACTATTTGTTAGAACTCAACACTCAATTTCACATAATATTTCATAATATTTTTAACTTTTTGGATTACATAACACGATTTCAAAACGTGTATGTTACAGTTACCTCCTCCTTTTGAGGATTTCGTCCCCGAAATCACAACGATTTGGACAAATGAGGATATTTCGCTCTTATCTCATTCTTATTTTCCCTAAGTATAAGTTTATTATCCCGTTTCACCTTGGATAATGGAACCGTTTCATCATTTATGCTCAAGCATTTACGTAGATATCTTTCATGAAATACATCATGAATATCTGCCAAATCTTCAGGCAATTCCAAGCGGTATGCTTGTTAGATAATTTTGAAAAGTCCAATAAATCTAGGACTCAATCTCCGTTTCTTCTCAAATTTCATAATACCTTTCCACGGGGTTACCTTCAGTATCACCCACTTGGAATTCTATGGATCGTCTCCTCCATTTCTACACAGGTCTTTTTGTCGATCCTTGGCTACTTTCATTCTTTCTCGTATAATTTGAATCTTATCAGTGGTGTCTTGAATCATTTCAGGACCACCAAGGATTTTCTGTCCTACA